AGGAAAGCTATTGATTTTTGTGTGTTGACCTTGTATCCAGCTACTTTACTGAATTTGGTTATTAAGTCTAGAAGACTTTTGGTGAAGTTCTTTTGTTTGTTTTTTGAGTCAGGGTTTCACTATGCATTCTAAATTGGCCTTGAACTTATTATGTAGCCCAGGCTTGCCTTGAATTCCTAGTGATCCTCCTTACTCAGTCTCCCTGGTGCTGGGATTACAGGTATGTGTCACCATGCCATCATACCTGGCTGCATTCATTGTTTATATCTTAAAAATGGAGAAACTGAAATTTTTGTGGTAATGTTTCTTTTTTCAAATTTTTATTTGTAACTTTTTAAAATTATCATGTTTGCAGTGCATAATATTTACATTCCTTGTTTAAGGTTGGTTCATGTACGTAACACATCTTAATTCCTTTTTACATCCCTTCCTCTCCCCTCCCCCCATTGCTTTATCATCCCTTTCCCACTGAGAAAGATCTATCTCTCTGCTTCCTATTACCTATCTTTTATTTTGCTTTTTATATATAATTTAGGTTTCTCATATAAAGACAAAATGTGATAGTTAAGCTTATGTTCTGGTTTATTTCACTGATCATTGTGGTCTCAAGGTGCATCCATTTTTGTACAAATGATTGAAGTTTATCTTTATGGTAATGCATTGCTTTTCAAACTGAAGGTTAATGGGTTGTAAAGTCAGTATGGTAGGTGTTATGGTTTAGATGGAGACTGTCCCCCAAAGGCCGTATGCACTTACAGGCAAGGCTTCTGGAAGTTAATTGAATTATGGGGGCAATATAGCTGACTTGCTCTTAGGAAATAGAATCTGGTCAGAAAAGGTAGGTCTTCAGAGGTATGACCTGGAAAAGTATATCCTCTTCATGGATTCTTGCTTCTGTCTCTGCTTCCTGGCCACCATGACATGAATTGCTTTTTCTCTGGTGTGCCATGGAGCCAGCCAACCATGGACTGTAAATGTGAACCAAAGTAAACCTCTCCTTTAAGTTGTGGGAGTGTTGGGTCTTGTATCTCAGCGATGAGAAAGTGACTATTATAGTAGGTTACGGCTAGTATTAAAAGAAAATGAAACAGAAGACACTATACACATGCCAGAAAATAACTTGAAAAAAGAATAAATATTGATGCGACATTTTTGTTTCATTCATTCATTCATATATATATGTATATATATATATGTAGTTTTACAGTATATATAAACATGTATATCAGTTGGTAAAATGTTTTGTTTTGAATATATACTGAAGCAATTCAGGACAGCTGTTCAGAAAATTAGGAATTAAAGCAGTAGCTGATGAGTGAGGGCTGAAGAATTTTGAATCACTGAAGTTATGACTCCCTAATAGAAAATTTAAGGAAGCAAATTAGTGCCTGTTTGTGCCCGTGACTTTCATGAACATTTATCATATGCCAGGCACTGCTCACACAGAATGGGACTGTATGAGATTCTCTAAGGAATTTGAAGAACTGTCACAAGATGAGCCATGATAGCAAATAATTGACTTTTTGGTAAAAAACACATGCCTACAAATTCATTTAAAATGAACTGAAGCATAATGTTTTTATTTAAAGTTTACTAGCTAGTTCAAGAATTGAATTTTCTTTTAGGAAAAAAATACTGTTTGGCTCTTGACAGTCTTTATCTTTCAGTTCCTCACACATGAGTAAAGCCTAGCATTTGATCCACGAAGCCATAGCTCTGATGGCAGTTCTCCAAGTTGTAGGCATAATACTGAGGGGAGAACAGCCTACGAGGAACCAGCTTTCTACACTTCAACATACAACACCATAGGAAATGTCACAGATGGTATGGGAGATGGAGTGATAGAAATAACTAAATGATAGGACCCCTGACAACACTGCCTAGATGACACAGCAAGAGGCTGCCTCAGTAAGCCATCCTCATCAAGTGGAATCCCTCTCCACTTTCCCAAAACAGGTCTGCATTGAGAGAATAATAGCCTTCATTTCTCTGAATGGGGCGTTGGGCCAATTTGTAGGAGGCAGGGAAACAAATTAAAGGTGTAGATACAGATGGAAAATGAGGAAATTGGGAAATACTAGTGAATTTGTAGGTAGTTTTCCTTTCTCTAACTGTAATATTCTCACATACTATGAGCAGAGCAGGCCTAACACACACATACAGCTGCCTTAAGCAAACAGTAGCTAGCGTTTGTTGGGTTTTCTGCCTGTTTGCTTGGGTGAGGACATTCTCTGAATTTGGATGAATGTGGAGGAGGGTGTCATAAGCAGGCTTTCTAAATCCACATACTCTAGGATGGCCCTGGAGAACAGGCTGTTTCCACACCAGTGGAAGCCTATTTCAGATGCCAGATTGTTCAATATATTCTGGTTGCCAGAAAGTCCTTGAGGATTTATTAAAAATTCAGGGGATCTAAGCACTGTATTTCTTATATACATATAACTATATCTGGAGACATTGTTTTGGGACTTACAGTAAATGATGACCAGCTTATATGGCTGAAACACCATCAGCTTTCTGGAAAAGGAAATTATAAAAGTTCTAATAATCTTTTAAAAATATTAAATGGCCTTTAATCCATAACATTTTAATTTGAGGTAGTATGTTAATTTTTTTGTGATTTTAATATAAATCTCCATTTTTGGCAACAAAAATGCAGAAGAGGAATTAACCATGCAGCAAGTAACATATACACATTATTTAAATTTTTTTTGGGGGGGTGTTGAGGATTGAACTCAGGGCCTTGCACTTGCTAGGCAAGTGCTCTACCACTGGGCTAAATCCCCAACCCCCTTATATACACATTACTTTAAAACTAATTTTTAAAAATTAAAAAAATCAGGACTAGTGGGGATCTCCTTCATTGAGTTCCCTCTTTTCCAACTGACAGTTTTCAACTGGTCCATCATCTGAAGCTGCATTTTCTGTTAGACAGACGGGTTCTTTCATTTTGTCTCCTTCACTTCGCTCCATACCAGTAGTGGATCTAGAACCACTGTGTGTCTGTTTCATTTCTAGGTATGTCTTGACATATCCTGGACATATACTCTAGGGCTGTGTGTGTGTGTGTGTGTGTGTGTGTGTGTGTACATACATATGCACATGCATGTGTTGCCTGACTGTTCATTCTCTTTTGCTTGTTTCTAATTTAGTAGTGTGACTGCTAACAGCAGTGCTTACCCACATAGGGGTCCAGAGCCAAAATCTGGAAAGCACATGCGGGAATATCACCAGATATTCTGACTGTTTCAGAAATAGGAACTGATTTTTTCTAGCTTGAGTTTGTTTCACTTATAAAGTTTTACTCTTTAAAGTTTTCACATGTTATTTTCTTTGATATGAATAGATTAATATAGATTGTATATATAATTAATTATGATCATAAAGTAAAAGTGTATAATCTTAGTTTCTGAAAATACAAATTTACAGTAGCATTCTGCCTTCTTTTCAATGTGGGATAATATAGTTTCACTTCTCATTCAGTTTCATATTTCAGAAACTTAAGGTTGAAGTCACTTTTATAAAGTTATGATTTATAATAGAAAGATTAGTTATCTCCAGAAAAATTAAAATAATTAAAACAAAATCATTTTAATGCCTGAACATGTAAAATGTTTGCTAATTGGTTAGAGGAAGCAGATTTGCCCCATTATAGTTATTCTCTGGAGAGACCCATTCTTATTAAACTGCAAAAGCACATTTTCATTAAATACAAGACAGCACCAGGTGAGGGAGGTAGCCAGCTGACAGAAAAGGCATTTGATAAATTGGAGTGTGTTTAAAATGTGTTATCTGCACTAATGCCCCAGATTCATTTTACTATGTGGCTTTCAACAGTTAATATGACAGATGGCCTCAAACAGCCTTGAATTCTGATCTTTTGTGTCAAGCTTTAGAGGTTTGGCAGTTGCTCTGAAAGGTTGAGATGTCAGCCTGTCCACCAGCTGTTTGTACTTTGGCTGCAGAATTGATGGGAAATGGCTATAGTTGTAAGGGCAGTTCTCTCTTGAGAGAGCATACTGGTTGGTCTTTAATTTCAAAACATACTTTGGAGAGACAGATATGTGAGATTGCAATATAGAGCCCTATCTGTCCACTATGTATGGCATCAAAGCCATTGACATCAAGAATAGTCTTTCTATAGTATATGGAAATATATAAAGTGTACATTATTTTCCCCATTTTGAAAAGGAAAAAATGTCAAAGTTTCATAAGTGTGAAAGAATGTGCAATGATCACCTTTATTTTTAATGCTGAAGGTTAATAGTTTAACATTTTGACATTTGTGTGTCTAATTGTGCTTTATCTGAGTTGGTGTTTCTCCACTGGGAATGGTTTTTTATACCACCTCCTCAGGACATTTGGCAATATTTTGGATATTTTTAGGTTCTTGAGAGGATGCTAGTGGCATTTAGTAGTGTGCAAAGGCCAGAGATAGCGTTACACATCTTTCAATGCACAAGACAACCTTCCACAACAACACAGAATTATATAGCCCCAAATGTCAGTTGGGCCATGTTGGAGATGTATGTTTACACCAGGTGAAAGTGAGTTATAGATATAAAAGACACTTCATTTCCAAATAACATGATGAGGCCATGGTTATTTAAACAGAAAAAAAAAATTCAAAGACAGCTTCCAGAGATAGGACATAAAAAGAAGCAGAAGGGAAAAGGAAAATTCCAGGATATAGGAAAAGGTGAAATCTGTGGAAAAACCTGATTGAGTTGTTGGTCACATCTGGATCCTTGGCAGAAATGATCTGTATAGTTGTTCCAATTGCCACATCTTCCAGCACTTCCACCAAATAAAAGTCAGGTTCAAACACAGGGGGCTCATCCACATCCTCCACACTGATGTGCACTGTTGTTGTGTCCTGAAATGGGCCCAGGTTCAGAAAACGCATCTCTAGATGAGGATTAGCTCCTTCCACTTTTAACGTGTAGCTTTTCTTGCTTTCAAAACTCAGAGGCTGAAAAGTAATGACAGGAAAATTGATTAGCCACTAGCATATATGGGCTTATCCACAGACTTTAATTTTGTGTGGTAAATTTCATCTCATAAAATATAATATTTTTGATTGTTCCCTTTTTTGATTTATCCTTCTCTTCAGAATGTTTTATTTCAAAATAAATACAGCACTTCAGGGCAGAAAGTAAACTTAAGTGCTATTTTTGAAGAATAATCAGTTCATTTTTTTAAAGCTGACAAAAATGTTAAAGTGTTTAAGCAACAGTTGTCTGAAAAAATCAATAGTAAAATAATCATAGAAAGTAAGTCTTATAAAATAGTTGCAGTAGATAGAAAAGCAGTTACTAAAGTTTAGAAGTCACATGTGAACATGTTGATGACTTAAATTTTTCCAGCTACACATTCACTTATGCTTTTTCATAAACTATGCTGAATGTCAGCATAGTTTGTGTTAGAAAGAAGCATGTGCCCATTTAAGCAGCTGCTTTTCTTTTGAGAAACAAACACCAGTAGGAGCTGTTTTAACTAAATATTATTTTCAAATTGACAAAAAAGTTGTTTGTTTTGTTTCTATTGGAACCACTTGTTCAGCATTTATGTAGTGCCAGTTATTGGGTTTTATGGGTCTTCAACCATTTCTGTTTAAACCAAGAACCCTGTTTGCTCCAGCTGCTCCCTTAGTTGTTGGTTACAAGACAAAGTTTCATCAACAAAAACCTACAACTCAGATTATAGTATAGCATACAGAAGGACTGGTTTTACCAATTTATTTATACTTGTTCCCAAAATTTACATACATTTCTTTCCTGGTAAATTATATTCTTCTGAAATTCATTGCATTTGTATGGGTAACCTAAAGTGGACATTGTTGTTTACTTTAGTTTTGGGTAAGGCAAACTTTGTTTTTCCCTTACTTTTAAGTCATTTTTCTAATGTGATGTGAATTTTGTATCTGTTTTAAAAATTAAGATGTAAATTATATATATAAAAATTAATTTTTTTACTGTAAACTTTTGCAGGCTATGACAAGTTCAGTCATAAGTCTTCCATGATCATGAAGATATAGTACTATCCTATAACCCTTGGAACCTCCACCCCATGCCCCTTTGTGGTTAGCCTCTCTCTGCATGTACAGTCCCTGGCAGGCACTGATTCACTGATATTCTATCCATATTACAAGAATGTTATACAAATAGGATTATTCAGTATGTCATATTTTGAGTCTGGTTTCTCTCACTTAGCATGATGCATCTGAGATTCATCCATGTTGTATGAATAAGTAGTTTATTCCTTTTTATTGTGGAGCAGTATTCCATTGTATGGGTGTATAAAAGTTGACTTCTCCAGTCTCCACTACAAGTACATTTGGGTTGCTTTCAATTTCTAACAATTATTAATGAAGCCATTATAAACATTTTGTGTGAATATGTTTTCATTTCACTTGGGTAAATTCTTATGAGTAGGATTGCAGGATTATATACTAAGTGTATTTTTTAAAACTTTATAAGAAACTTTCAAACCAGTTTTCGAAGTGACAGTGTCATTTTGTATCATCACTAGGAATGTTAGAAAGTACTAGTTTTTCTGTATCCTTGTTACTAGTTTATCAGTTTCTTAAAAAAATTTTTAGCTGTTATACTGTGTATAAAGTGGTATCTCACTATGGTTTTGATTTGCTATTCTCTAATGCTTAATGATGTGTCTTTAAATGCTTGCTTGAATAATTCTTTATATTGAATCCTTTATCACACATTCAATTTGCAAATATTTTGTCCCAATATGTGGGTTGTCTTTTTGTTCTTTTTCTTTTTTTATTTGTACTGAGCTACATCCCCAGCCCCAGTCACTTAAAAAAAATTTTTTTTTGTTACCGGGGATCGAACTTGGGACCTTGAACTTGTGAGGCAGGTGGTGGAACCACTGAACTAAATCCCCAATTTTTTTTTTTTAGTCCATTTCACAGTACATGCTGTTTATGTTCCTTTTGTGGAGCTGGTACACATACATAACATATCTGAATTTCTTTTTTCATCCCCTTTCCCTCCTCTCCCCCATCTTTTCATCTCCTTCCCATTTGAGAAAGATCTATCTCCCTATTACCTGTCTTTTATTTTTATTTATAATTTGTGTATAAGAGAAACCATGCAGTACTTTGCAAAACTTAGGCTTGTGGTCTAATTTATTTCACTTAACATTATGGTCTCTAGGTACATCCATTTTCAGTCATTTAAAAATATTTTAAAAAAGATTGAGGCAGGGTCTCATTGAATTGTTAAGTTATATAGGTTGAGCTTGAAGTGACCTTCCTTGTCTCAGCCCCCCGGAATGGTGGGATTACAGGCATGCACCACCATGCTGGCTTGTCTTTTCTTTCTGTTAAAAGAATCTTTTGAAAACCAAAAGCTCTTAATTTTGAAGTCCTCTCACTTAAAACAAAATTTGAAGGGCTGGGGATTTAGCTCGGTGGCACTATGCCTGCCTCACAAGTTCAGGGTCCTGAGTTTGATCCTCAGTACTGGAAAAAGAAAATTTGGACTGAGATTCTAGTATCATATTGAAGAAACCTTCACCTAATAAGGTTACAGAGATTTTCTTATAGAAATTTAATGGTTTTAATTCTTACATTTAGTTGTATGATCCATTTTGAGTTTATTTTTTGGAGGTATAATTGAAGATCTTTTTTTTACATATGGTACCCCATTGTTGTAGCATCATCTGTTGAAGAGAGTAGAGTGTTTAATTACTGTTGGTTTCTTTTAAATGTTACTTATGGTTTTTAAAAACTATTTAAGATTATTGTCTCCTATACTTTTACTTTTAAAATGGAAAGAAAATACTGCACCAGTGCTCTCAGCTTTAAATTGCCTAGATTTAATAAATGAGTTTAGTGTTCTCTTGAATAGTTTTTGTTCCTATTTTTCTAAACATCAAATAATTGTTTATGTCTGTATTCTTAATGATAAATTAAAGAATAATAACGTAAGTTCAAAATTCAATAAATTTTCTAGAATTGGTGTACACAAAATGAAAAGCCATTGTATCCTTGAAAGTGGAACCATGAAAATGATAGCACAAAATAGTAATGCAGCTTTATTAGTTAATTTTATGAAATAATTAAATATTCCCTCCTTGATTTCCCTAGTATTTTATTGTACTTCCATTACAGTTCTTCTTGTTCTGTATTGCAGATATTTCTTTGTATTTTGGCTCCTTCCCCAGAGGTAAGGGCAACAGCAATGACTTAGATTTATATTCCCAGTTCCTAGAAGAGCCTACAATTGAAAATGTAGCAACCCCCTCCCAAACTGAAAAACGCAAAAAAAATTTCACTGTGAATCAGTGTGTACTGTTTGAGTGATCACATATACAGACAGATTAAATAGGGATTTTGTGTTACCATATTTCAGTTATTCTAAGATGCATATTTTAAAATATGTTGATGCTTTGGAAACAGGGTTGCTTTTGCTGTTGAAGACAACTTCCAGTTGTTGTGGGCTCAACAGAAGATGATGGGATATAGTTGTTAGTGCCTATGTATGTCAGACTGAGTCAAAACCATTCATGTTGTTTTACTTCAGTTGAGTTTTGCCATGTTGTTGTTACTGGATATGTTGAACTTTATTGCCCTCTAAAGGGTCTTCAAAAAGATTGTATTGTTATTCAGCATTGAAACAAAAGTTATTGTGCAGACAGAATGCCATGGAAAGACCAACAAGGAGTAAATCTCATAAGAGTGAAGCAAATATGTCTGTGTCTTAAATAAGATCATAGCTCTTAAATAAACTACAAATAAATAGGTATTGCATCATTTAAATTGGTAAGAACTTTTAAGTGGTACATAAAACAGTGCTGAAAATTATAACTTATGACTTCTTATATAGGTAAAATAGACAGAAGACTTGCTGAAGAGTAGAAAGTGGCACATCGTGCTCTTACAGAATAAAGAACATTTGGAAAATTATATCTTTCAAGCATTTAACTTAAGAGACAAAATCAATTGATTACTTAAAAGCTAAAAAGACTCATGGTACTGGGTTGTAATCATTGTGGTTTTATGTATACCCAGTGCTATCAATTCAGCTTAATTTCTCTTTTGGAAAAAGTGTGGGCTTTTTAGACAAATAATAGGCCTAAGGGAAATAAATCAAAAGCAAAACTTTGTTTCAATTTTATATGACATTATTAATGACAAAGTGGGAAGATGGGTGTGGATCAGATGTCTGAGTGAATGTTATTGTAGAGGTGTAGATTGAGCAGTCAATAGTCTCTACAGTATTTTTTTGGGGGGGTACTGGGGATCGAACTTGGGTCCTTCTGCTTGTGAAGCAGGTGTCGGACCTCTACAGTATTTATTATATGTGACTGGACCACCTACTCAACTTATTGACCTTTTTCTTAATTCCATTTTATAGCTGCTCGTAAGTTCAGAAAAGATATCAAACTGACATTGGAAAAATGATACATGTTTTGATTATATATGGATATAGTTTTACCAATAACAATGAGAGACAGTGATATGTCTTGAGGTTTAATCTTTTTCCTAGGTAAGGGAGATTCAGAAAAAGACACTTTGAGCTTCATCAAACTGTAAAAATAGATTTTTAAAAAAATGAATGGCTTGTAATAAGATCTAAACAGTATTATAATAATGTAACATAAATTAGTGTTATTATTTGGAATTGTTATAAGGTATAAATAAAATTAAAATAGTATCAGAAAAGCCCTTTCAGATTGCTTCATTTTTAATAGAATTTTTGCATTCAAGAAACAATAATTATTCAAAACTTTAAGCATTTATAGTTACTAGTCATGATTAACAATATATTAGTGTTTACTTTGAGGCATGCCACCTAGTAGGGACTGTTCTTAAACCTATGTCATACAACAAATCCGTATTATAGGCACCTTTTATAATTGTAGCATTTTGATATCCTCAAAGAATGGGAATAAAGTAAGAGATTATAATATTTTAATTTCATCCAGACTTATTGGATGATTCACAAATCAGTCTCAGCATTTTGTACTTTATGTTTGCTGGTTATAAAGACTTTTGGTAGGTGTAATTCTGAAACACCTGCTTCCTTTCCTGTATTTGATTGCACCTTAAATAAATACAGAACAAACACATATATTTATCTCTTCTTCCCTCCTAAAGCAGTGTTAATTCAGTTCTATGAAACAGTGTAGACTAGTTATTATAAATACACCTTATGCCACATTTTAAGTTATTACCTTGTTGCTTTTGTCAGCATCATCGATGACCTCTCTGGTTAATTTCCAATGTTATTTCACCTTCAGCAGTATTTGCCACTAGTGATCACTCCCTTCTCTTAGAAATGCTTCCTTCATGCCTTTATTACACCACAATCCCTTGATTTTCCTCATTCTTCTGGTCTTTCCTCAGTCTTCTTGCTTTTTTTTGGTCTTCTTCTGACCTCTGCATGTTGGATGCATTAGGCCTCGTTTTTTTTGTCCCTTTTATATATTTGGTTCCTGGAAATCTCATTCCATTTCAACTGCTTGAGTACTATGTATGTGCTTATGACTCTTAAATTTATATTTCTAGCCCAGAACTCTTTGCCAGACTCCCGACTCTTGTAACCAAAACCACAATGCATTTCTGTTTGAATGCATAACCAGCACTACAAATGTAGCATGTCCAGAATCCTGATAATTGCTATCCATCTCCTGCCATCTGTTCTACTTGTAGACTTCCCCATCTCAGTTAATGGCAACTCCATTCTTCTTTTTTTTTTTTTTGCATTCATGATTTTAATAAAGAAAAATAGGCTTCTGAGCTATACTAAGCTCACTGGTCTGTAGTCCTTCTCCAAGGCCAGGTGACGCCTAGCAGAGGGCGAGTATTGCAACTGCAGAAACCACCCATCTTCCTCGCAGCTCTCCAACTCCCCATCTGTAGGCAAAGTTGAGTCCTGCTCTTGTTTCTTTTTGGGGGGGATACACCCACTGAGGCACGAGGCCAAACTCCGTTTTCCACAGGATGGTTTTACTTTGAGCTTTGTTTTCTTCTTGTCAGGATCGTGCACAATGGCATGCCTAGTGAGACTTTGTTTCATGGCAAATGTTTTGCCACAGCCAGCATGTTCACATACAAATGGGTGCTGTTCCTCATGGAAAGAGAGAATATAGCTCTGGAGATTGAACACAGTTGTGTAGGTTCGACCACAGCCTTCTCTTGGACATCGACACACAGCCCTTTCTGAAGCATGAGTTTCCATGTGCTGCTTAAGGTAATCTTTGTGCTTAAATGTTTTCTGGCATACTTCACACATTATTTCCTCTTTATGGGTTTTTCTCATGTGTTTCAGAAGTTCTGTCCATGTTTTGGCCACAAAAGAACATCCCTTTTGACATATATAGCCCTTGTGAACCTTCCCATGTTGCTTCAGGCTGCTGGGTGAGGCAAAGTGCTTCCCACATCGTTCCTGGCTACACCTGAACAGTGGCTCCCTGGTATGCTGGCACTGGTGGATTTTCAGCTGCTGGTATTTCTTAAAGGCTTTCTTGCAACCTTCAAAATTGCATACATATTGTTTTTGCTGATTTTCATGTTTGCGTTCACAATGTTTGTTCAGGTTTGATTTGGTATTGAGTTTTTGCTCACAGCCATTAGCTGTACAAACAAATGGCTTTTCTCCAGTGTGAATCAGGATGTGGCGACTCAGATGGTAGTCTCTGACAAAAGCCTTCCCACAGCCTTCATAGTCACAAGCAAATGGCCTAGCAAAGACATCGCGGTCCCAGCCCGAAGCTCTTAGAACTTCCTGTCCACTTCCTCAGTTCCTTCCCTAACCTAAGCCTCCATTCTTCTTTTTGTTCAGGTGATTCTTCTCTTTTTTCATATCCTCATCCAATCATTTAAGAAATATCATTGTCCTGACTTTCAAGATGTGTATATATGTGTGTGTGTGTGTGTGTGTGTGTGTGTGTATATTTTGATTCTGACCACTTCTCGCACTTCATTCCCACCACCCTGGGCCAAGCCATCACCATCTCTTGTCTAGATTATTATAATACTCATGCGAGTGTTCTCCTTATTCTTATTTGTATTCTTATCCCCTGATGGTTTTCTTTATCTCTACATAGTCTACAAAATAATTTTATCACATATTTGTTAAAATCTTCCAATCATTTCTCCTTTTACTCAGAGTAAAAAAACTGAAGTTCTTATAGTCAGCCTGTATGGGCTTAAGAATCTGGGCCCTTTGTTACTTTTCTGACATCATCTCCTAAAATTTTCCCCCTCTTCAGCCTTATAACTCCCTTTGCTAGCTATATATTTATTTATTTATTTATTTAGTACTGGGGATCAAACTCAGGCCCTTGTGCTTGCGAGAAAGGTATGGTGCCACAAAGCTAAAGCCCCGGCCCTTCCCTTTTCTATTTTTGAAACACACCAGGCATGATCCCACATGAGGGCCTTTACATTGCTGTCCTTCTGTTTGGACCCCTTTGTTCATTAACTCTATGTGCATTTTGTTCTCTCCATGGTAGCTATGGACAGTCTCACCAAAAGTCATATATATGGTAACTCTCACAGTGTGCACTGTCAGCCTACTCAACTCTGCTGTGACTCAGCTCACTTTAGGTCTTTGACTAAATGTCACTTCTATGTAAGACCAGTCCCAACCACCATATTTAAATATGAAGTCATTTTGACTGTCCTTATCTTATTTTCTTTTACCCCTCCCCCATAGCAGTTATCACCTAACACACTACTTTAATGATTTGCTGTTTTGATTGTCTTCTTCCCCGCACTAGGTTGTAAGCTCCATGAAGGGCGAGATATTTTTGTTGTTTTATTAACATTCTACATTAAATGCCTAGAATACTGGTGGCAAACCTATGGCACATGTGCCTCAGTGGGCTGTTTTCATCTTTGAAAGTTCTAAAAGGTTTGTCATCACTAGCCTAGAACAATACCTGGCACATAATTTATACTTAATAGTTAATATATCTTGGGTTTTAAAATAAATATGTTCAAAATAGAGGATACTTTAATGTATTTTATCAGATATTTATTTGTAAGGTTTCAATTTTCAGTTACATTATTTTCTAATTGAATTTATCCATATGTGCTTTATACCACTGAAAGAAGTGGTATGTTCAGAAAACCTGGTACTCATGAAACAAAAGACTTTCAAGTGGTAACAATCACTCACCATCTACGTTTGATAAAACTCTTTCCAATTTAATTTGCATTTATGGATCTTCAAGAAGCAATTAAAAATCCCTAGATGTTATTTATTAATTCATACATAACATTATACCTTACTTTGTTGTTACTTATGGTACACTGTGGTAAAAAAATGTGTGATTCAAATATTGGTTAAATCATTAACATGATGAGAGAAATAAGTCCAACAGTTTTTTAAGTAGGTAAGTAGGAGAAATGGCATAGGTATAGTATGTTTTTATCATGACTCGTTACCCTTTCTGTAAAATAATGGCATAACCAGTGTTCACAGGTAAGCACAAGGAGTAAAAGATATTTTGTAATAAAAGGAAAGAATTTTTATCAGAGCATTTAAATCAATACATATACATAGTAGAACCCTTATTAGAATTTTATATTTAAAGTATCCATGAAAATGATTCGGAAGCAGGAGTTGAATTACCTTCTTCACAGTTATGATGCCAACTTGGAAATTGGGATCTGTGTTAATGTCAAAGGTATCTGTACCATCTCCATCCACAATAGTGTATTTCATCTCTGCGTTGATTCCTTCATCCAAGTCCTTGGCAAACACTCTCCCCACTGTTGAGCTAACTGGAGCTGATTCCAACACACTCATCTGATAATGTTCTGTGAAGAAAAGTGGGAATATACATTCTTCATAATCTGTCATTACAAAAATGCCTCATCATTATCAAATCATACCAGGTATGATGTGCAAGATACCTTTTTCTTTGCTCAAAAATTAAACCCTGAAGTTTTACAGATGAAAACTGAGGTTCAGCAAGGCTGAGCAAGAAATTTTGCAGGTCATAGCTGTAGTGGGTGTTCATTAAGAAGGCAGAATAGCTTGACTAAAATCCTAAAAGTAGGACAGGATAGAAGCAGAACTCCTTCTCATCCTAGTGAATCTACCTTCTGAGTGATGGGAAGTACTTTGTTTCCCAAACTTTTGGTACTACCTATGAACAGAAATATTTCCTCAAATGTTAGTTTCCTCCTGAGAAAGAAAAAAACATTGTTGTTACAAAGTACATATTTATTCTGTTTACATTTGAAGTGCCGCATTTGTCTTCATGCCTGGCCAGTGTGCTGAGTACTCATATCTAGGGTCACCTGGCCAGAGATGATGCAGATTCATTGTATGTAGCGGAGGAACAGGCACAAGCTCCACCAACTCCACGTGTTGTTCATCAGTGTGTCCTTGAAGCTGAGACCTCTGGCTACCTTTCCACAGACAGACTCCTGATGCTACTTGTTCTCTTGTTCCAGTATAGAATACCAAAAATGTTCCCATATATAAAAGAAGCACATGTCCTTTTTGACTTGCTATTCCAATCCACAATTAAAGTTAGTTCATTTTCATTTCCATGAGGTTGTATCTTTGCTAACTTTCTTTCTCTGGGATTCAATGTTTTGATGTTTTTCATTATTTTGTCAAATATACACTAACAAAAATTGTATAATCACATTTTCAATATATTTGTAGTCTTTTTTATTCTAATATGCATTGTAAGACACAGGAAAACCTGAAGTATAAGGGCTTAATTTTCACAAACATTTGGGGAGGCTGAGAGCACCTAGGCAGCTCATGGCACTCCACCTTGCACGGGAGAAGAAATGATGCCTGATGCTTACAGATATGAACCAGGAATTCTCTACTGTTTTAAGCTGGCAGGCACGTGGACTTCATCTTTTTCAATTCACTTCTAAAGTTGCTGATGGATTACACTTTGCTATTGTAGAATGTTTGCAGCATCTGTCTACAATTTTGTCCACACCAGGAAAGCTACGTTACGTGTTTAAACACACATATAGTTTCCACACAGGATGTGTTATATTAGAAATAATTAGCTTAAAATCTTGATATTATTATATTGTTTCATTTAAAAGTGATTGAGTTTAGGGCTGGGGATTTAGCTCAGTGGTGCTGCTGCCTGCCTTGTAAGCACAAGGTCCTGAGTTTGCTCCCTGGTACCAAAAAAAAAAAAAAAAAGTGATTGAGCTTGTTCAGTGTGAAAGAATAGGTGGAGTATTTTATTAGCATCTCATAATCAGTTATGGTAATGTTTGTGAAAAAGAAGCTAAATGGAATTTCTACAATGAAGTCAGAACAGTAATAAGGTAGAAGAGATCATCTGAGATAGGTTTATGGAATAGTGAGGTCATTAAAACTTAGTTTTGGCAAGCAGATAGGAAAATATTTAATGGTAACTAAGTAAGTTTTTTAAGAAGTGCAAAAAAGGGCCGGGGATTTAGCTCAGTGGTTTCGCCGCCTGCTGCGCAAGCACAAGGACCCAAGTTCGATCCCTGGTACCAAGAAGTGCAAAAAGAATGACCATTTTAGGGGAAGCAATGTGCCAAGAATTCTTTGAGACACAGATTTAAATTACATCGTTTCATTTTATCTTCCATGAAACATTCACACTTCCATTCCATCATAGATCCTTCATTATTACTCAGCTTTGAAAGAGTGACTAGTAAAAATATATCCTTTAGAATGGCATTAAAATTTTGGTTTGGGAGGGAAAACTAAAACCCTGGTTATCATTTTTTGTTATGCTACTATGAAGGTGCCATATTTGGGGTGACATTACTTTACTATAATATGTCCAAATCCTCATGCTTTTTTTTTGTACCGGGGATCGAACTCAGGTCCTTGCGCTTGCGGGGCAGGTGGTGGAACCACTGAGCTAAATCCCCGGCCCAATCCTCATACTTTTGATCTATAACTTGCTTTTTCTGCTCCTTCTGCTTCCATCAGAGACACTGTCTGGTGCCAAGTTTAAAAAGTTGAATGGTTAAAGGATGTTCAAGAATCTGCAGTGTACAGTTGTGTGCAATGTAAGTCATTCATGAACTATAAAGATGGAACTCACATGATGAGTAAAGGAACAAGAAGTCACTCCATGTGTTATTCCATAAACTGTTCCATGTTCTGTACTGTAGGGACACTCATTTTAGTAACCTCCTTCATCATTTGTAAAACGCTTACTTAGTATCTCGCCTTTTGCTTTTATGAATGCTCAGAAGGAAGTTTGCAGATATCAGTTGAATGTAAATACTTGAGCTGTCTTCCTCTATTTACATGGATAAAATAGAAGGTTCACTTGGTCTAGCTGATTCAAAATACATTTATTCAGCTAGTAGTCTGGCTGGACTCTGTTTTTACCTTAGGGTTTGTTTGTTTTTTAACTCCATTTCACCTGAAATTGTATCTCCTGTGCTCACTTTTCCAGCTTACTCCCTTCACGCAACCACTTTTTAAACATCTCCATTCCTGGGCTCTGTTCTATCATCATAGCTCCATATTTCCATCTTCCTTAAGAACAGTCAGTCTAATTGTTCTGCTGTCACTTCATATGCAAATCTGAATTTGTCTCCTTCCTCCCCTGCCACTAGTTTTATTATACACCCTCTATGTCTATCAGTAGTACAGTTTTTCTCCCTGTCATCTAGAATTAAAACATTGTTGTCATCTTTGACTGCATTGTCTGCCTCAGTTTGCTTAGCTATGAAATCAAGAAGTCTGTATTATTTGTCTACTCTGTTCAGCCATTTCCTTTAGTCCTTTTCAGCGTAAACCCAGACCACTCTGAACAACTTCTTAACAGCTCCCTTGCTTCTAGTCTATGCTTCTTCTCAGAAGTTATCCTCTGGCTGCCATGAGAAATACAGCACACAAACCTGGCATGATGATGCACACCTGTAATTCCAGCACTCTGGAGGCTGAGGCAGAAAGATCACAAGTTCAAGTTTGAGCCCAGCCTGGGCAATTTATTTATTTATTTATTGCTTAAATTCTTTTATTGGTACATTTTAGGTATACAATACATTTACATTTAT